CCCCAAAACCCCAAAACCCCAAAACCCCGTGATTAAAAGATTAGATATAATCAGATATAAATGATGATTTAAATTTTTATCAATGATAAATCAGTTAATGCGCATTTTCGAACTTATATTTTCATTCTGAGACTGATACAAGCTTGCTTGCATTTTCAATTTTATTTCTCATCCTGGATAATATATCCTCAGCCTTATCCTTGCTTCTCTTAATGTCATAGTCTTCCTCAATCTTTTGGGCTTCCTCTTCACCTCCTCTCTCAAGTGCTCTCTCCTTCTCCCAAGTTTTAGAAACTTCTCTATTAATTTTGGTATTTTCCAAATTCCTCTCAAACTCATAAATCTTGATGTCATCAACAAGGCATTCTTCTTTGAGCTCATTCAACTCTTACTTCATCTAGCCAATTGATTCTCTGAGTGTTTAGTTATCAGCCAAGTTTTATTCCACATAAGATCTAAGTTCTTGGTCCTTGTCTACTAATCTAGTCTTGAACAATGATAGCTACTTAAGTAGAAGTTAGGATACCTTTGGATCATTTTAATCTTGAAGTTGTAATAGAGATGATAAAACTTAGTTCAATGATTCAAACTTGAACATTATGCCATTTTCAGTCTCGAAGTTGACCTTTACAAGCTAATTGAGATTTTACGAGATTTTATCGTTTTCCTTTGTTAATTCTTTGACAGACTTAGGTTTATTATCATTCATTTGCATATTGAATTTGCTTTCGCTCTTTATAATAGAAGCATCACCGCCATTTTTATCATTTTTAGATTGCTAGATTTTAGCTCTTAGTTCGTTGATCAGTTGCTCTTGAGTAATAAGAGCTTTGCAATCTCTTTCTCTATGGTTTTACAGCTACTTAAGATGCAAGTGCATATCGGAAAGTTTCTGAAGTTAGTGCTGGTACTCTGTAGAGGATACTAATATTTGCTATTTATAGAGAGCGTCTTTCACCTAGAGATTGTGAATGATTTGGCTTTAATTTTTGAAGATCTAGCTGACTTAGTGGGGCTAGTTGATGACTGAATTATCAAGCGTGGATGTCATTTTTGTTATGAAGTTAGTAATTGCTAATATATTAGAATTATTTCAAATTTAACAATTATATTTCAAGCTGCTATCCTAAACTGCCACTTATTCAGATTTCATACTTAGGGGTTTTGGGGTTTTGGGGTTTTGGGG